GAGCCAATGGGCACGCTCTTAAGGAGCATGTAGTTGGAGTCCGAAATTCATGTGTCATATATGCGGCGCGAATCATACCCGAATCATGCCCGAATCATACCCGAAGCAAACCCCCCAACCTGCCAGCGTGGACAACCGCCCTTCTGGTACTTGCTGGCTTAATATGGCGTAGTGCTGCGCGCATCAAGTCATTTGCACGAATAAACAACATGAGATGAGGTGTTTCCGGTCCGCTTGACCAACAAAGTCGCATGCCGTGGACCTTTTTCTGTTGTTGCAAAGCCTGCTCTGGAAAGCGCCTGTACATGGCATGACTCCTCAAAATGCGGCCTGCCCTCGGTGGTTCGCATGCGACCACAATATGAAATGAGGTGCTTTTGGCTCTTTTCGCCAGCACGTCACATGCTGCGCGCCAATTTTGGTTGGTGCACTACCTGTTCTGGGCGGCGTGTGTGCATTGCGTTTCATGGTGCCTGGAATGACGTTACGCGGGTTGCATGACTTCGGGCAAATCCCGCCTGAGCGGGGGAGTGCGTGGCCTCGTGTGGGTTTGGAGTGACGTCGTCCCGCCCCTTGTAGGGGATTGAACGCTGGGGACATAAGTTCCGGTAGTACATCGTTTCGGACAAGACCTGGCGTGCTCCCTGCGTAGCATTGCGCTACAAAACCTTTGTGGCATTCTCAGTGATTCCGTTGTTTCAAGATCGGCTCCTAGATTGGCCTAGCTTGGACAGGTTCTGCTTCGAGTATGGCACGGCTCCCTGGGCTTATGGCGAAGCTATACGTCTTCAACATGAAACATGTTGAATTGACAGGGCCTATTTGGTCTATGTTCACTTTTACGCTTGACAGTTCAGCTCGTCGGCCGTCGTCAGACCTTCTCCGCAACATAATTCGAAGCAAGCCCCGAAGCAAACCCCGAATCAATCCCCGAAGCAAACTCCGAAGCAAACCCCTGAAGCAAACCCCTGAAGCAAACCCCGAAGCATACCCCTAATCCAAACATCCCGGGTTGCCCGCGTTATTTCCTCCTGGAAATATGTACAAAAAAATATTGGCCTTCCAATTGACAAATCTGTCCGGCATCATCTATTCTATGCATGGCAATCCCAACATCAACCTTGGAAGGTTGTGCATTATGTTTCTCTGCAAAACACGCAGACTTTGCTAGTGCATAGAACAGCAATAGAAAAACCTTGCTTGGCGTCTTTTTGTGGTCAATCTTTTCAAGTTGCACGTTCTCTGTACATGGCCCTTTTGCGACAACCTGAATCCGACGGTGGGTCATGCTTGGATGACAAAAGCCGAGCCATAAGATCATGACAAAGTGTTGAACAGTGGCGATCTAGAAGTGACACCATGCCAAAAGCCGAAGAGGTTCCAACAACAACAACAACAAAGGGCTCCAGTGGACGTCCTGTAAAAGTGATCAAGAACATGCCGCTTGTTGCATGCCAAGGCAACCAGAACAAACCCAATCCACAAACACCAGTGTGAAACTCAGATCAGTTTCACCCATTTTAGACGCAGTCACTCACGAAGTATCGCAGAGATGGGTGCCTGGGTTTTGGGGCTTAGGCTGTTCAAGTGGAGGGTCTTGGTGGGCTAGGGGCTTTGGGGCTTCAGGGCTCTAGGATTCAGGGTTTTAGATGGTTTTAGGCCTTTTGGACTGCAAGGCTTTCAGAGTTTTGGAATGTAGGGCATTATGTTTCGAGCCTCAATTCGGGGTTTGGGCTTCAGGGTTCAGAGTTTCGGGGATGGGGTTCAGGATTAGCTCCAGGGTTGGGCTTACGACTCTGCGCTTCAGGGCCTCACAAGGATCGCAGCTACAGGCCTCAACGAATGCCAACAGTCACAGGGAGCGCTCACCGGGGTTTGCAGATACGGGCTGGAGTGCGACACGATGAACTCTACTACTCCCATGAGCGTTTTTCTTTGGAAGAGACAACCAGATATCCTGCTTGAATAGAGAGCCCTTGTCGGCTAGACGCTTCGCCTTGGCCGGTGCAAGAGGTGATGCAAGACAGCTGTGCCGGTAGCTGTTGTTCTTCTCATTTTACGAAACTCTTGGTGGTTGATTTGCAAGCTTCCCAGTTGTAGTTTCGTGCTTGCACGTCTTCAGACAGATTAAGAGACGGCATTGCTGTGTTTGTAATGTGCTGTTGTTGACTTCTGCCTTGTAACCTTTGTCAGCCTTCAAGATATGTCCTGATCTGAGAGCCTTGATGAAAGCCTTGAGGTGACCTTGCTACTGCTTTTGCTGGCTCTTCGTGCGCTGCAGCGCGCAGCGGTGGAGCCACCTCCGCCGCTACCGAGGAATGGCCGGAACGGCATCGGCTCTTTATTACTGCATGGCCCCCTTTGGTGGTGCTCCCTTCTTGTAGCTGGAGAAGCTTCAGGACTCGTTCTTCGAGAATTCCGTCCTGTCAATTCAGAGCCCTCAACTTCCATCGCATCTGCGGCCACTGTATGGCTAATGCTATTGACGGCTCTTGCTGGCTCAGTGAATTGGACTCGGTGCCAGGCTGGCTACCGACGCTGGCAAAGGCGCAACTCAACATTCGTCCTGTCTATTGGCGAAACCATGGACAGGGCACAAATATGACTGGGCGTGGCTGCTTGCGGCGCTGTCCGGGGTTCCTGTAGTTTCTTGCGCAGTGTCTGCAAGGTTTCCAGGTGCCGAAATGTGGACAGATGCCCGGTTTTCAGCAGTGTGTCCACCTTGCCCAATTGGTAGTGCAGGGCCGGTATGTGTTCTAAATCCAGAAGACGTCGCCAGCACCTGCTGAAAGAAGGATGCCCTGTGCAAGTACCAGCCAGCACTAAAGCCGTGTTTATGTCCTTGACACGCTGGCGCATTCAAGGGAAGCTGTGTGTACTGACGCGTTCGCGCATCACACCGATTGAGTCAGGCTGTTATAGGAATTTGTGGGCGCAGGCACTTTTGCATATGCCAGGCTTTTATACAAGATGACGCAATCACCTGGGCACAAGCCCCATGCTGTGACCGGCAAACCTGACAGGATTTTCGACATGCCCAGCAACCACGACCCGGCCCAAGTGAAGGCATGCAGGCAGATGCCACCCCAGGCAATAATATGACCACGCAGGTGGCGTAAGTACCTGACAGGCAAACATGGCACGGCTGCGTTTGGCGGTGCTTTGACAAGACGCTAGGAGCCATAATATCAGCCCAAGAGACTTTCCAGCAGCAGTAGGAAGAGGGCCCAAAACAATTGCGAGGCCAATGCCAATAATGCAGCCGGCCAAAGACGACAAGACCGAGTTCCGAGCAAAGCCTCAGCTTGCTTCAAGATCCGATCTTGGCCTTCCATTCAGCACAGCCAAACCGCGGCTGAATTGCCATGCCAAGGTGGCGCCTGTGTTCTACATCCTGAGCTCGGGCGAGATCCAGCAGCAAGGCCGCCTATGATCATACTCTGTGAGCCTGGACAAGATACCTGCATGTCGGGTTTCAGGACCCTGCTTTAGCAACACATTCAGGTTGAAGCGGCCTCAATGATGCAGGCAAGAATCGCGCACATGAAAAGCTGCATTGCAGACTTTTCATGGGCGAAGAAAGAACGTGCCTACATACCATCTAGCTGCAATCTAGCTCACAACTTAGCAGCTTGGTCAGTACTTAATAATTCTTGGCCCACGGCGCTCGCTGATCCATAAAACGAGGGTATCGTCAAGGTACGGAGGCATTAGTCCTATGCGGTGCAGCCGGAACAGGCACAAGGAAAACTTTAGTGACTGGTATTAACGGCGAAGGAGATTCCTACTGTACGCAGCCGATTCCAGCGCACCTTCGTTCTGACCCTGCAATTTCCCTTTTTTTCCAGGACATGCCAGACACAAGGCCAACAGTAAGAGCACCAAGAGGCCTTAAGATCCTGATACAGGTCCCAGAACATCTCAAAGGTTGTGGGGAATTCCGGAGGATTGTTATGTGGAGATGTCCGGTGGAAACCAACGCGGACTGGTTTGAAGAATAGGCAAGTGCAGTAGCTGGCGGCCTGGCTCTGGCCTTCTACGGCTACACAGAAGACACAGTGCAGGGAGGTCTCTGCAGACCTAGACGAACCGATTGCAGGCAGGTCTCTCTGTAGACCTAGGCAAACCGATTTCACGTTCAACCTAAGTTAAGGGAACAATATGGAAAGTAGGTAGGCAGGAAGTCCAAAACTTGTCCTACACTACACGCGCTATGGCTCGAGAGTCGGATCTGGAATCTTTTACCACGTGAGAAGTTTATGACAGGACGATGAAGCTGCTAACCACTGAAGGACAAGAAAGATACTTCGACAAGGAAGAACACAGCTTGCGGTGTCCCTTTTTCCTTGAGCCAGATCATGTTCAATTGTCCACCGAAGTCTTGGTACGAAGTGTTACTGTGATCGCAGGGCAAAACATGTCAGAGGGGCGTGTTTTCACAACTACGTTTAGGGCTTGGGCCCATGCATCCTTGGCGCAGAGACCCTGCAAGCCACAGAAGAGAACCGATTGCAAGTTCAATTCAACGGCCACCAGGTAGGGCTGTTGGTGCACTGCACATCAAAACAAAGAGTTGGTAGGAAGATCTCGCTCTCTGGTAAGATGTTGCCCGTGCCAGAGTGAGGCCATCCTGGCAGACTGGGGTGCAATCGTGGCGGGAGTGGACATGGGTCATTGCAAGTGTTGTGGCGGCCGATTGTGCTTTCCAAAAGAAAACGTTCGCGGCCATGCCTTCAACCCGTACGTAGGCAATCACCATCACAGTCACGAAGCCTCTAGTAACTTCGATTGTCCAAGCCACTGTCCACGCACCAACACCCTCAAAGACCATGAGAGCGATGCGAGGCTATGGGCATTGAACAAAAATTGCGCTAAGGACTACGATGTTGATGCAGCTAACCCTTGATGCTTGCCTTGCGATGGGCAACACTCTCCTACGCAGTGATTACAGGTCTCATCTCACTGATGGCAAGCCCGAGCCTTGACTTTGAACCGTGACTCCTTAATGCTCACATCATGGCCACAACTGCAACATGAAGGTCTGATTCCAGTGATGCAATCGAAGAAGCTTGGCCGCAGTGATATCCAGCTGAGAACTTGATCATGCTTGATCTACTTGGAGACGCTTGATACATCATGATCCACTTGTGTGCTTGCCTGTGGCAATCAGGCTTCTTTTCAACATCCACACTTCCTCTGAGCTGCTACTGTAAGCTGAAATGCTACAAATCGTGCATCACAACAGGCACGCTCCATTCCAGCGTCGCGACCTGCCGCATCTGCCAATGTAGTTCCAGATTCGGGTTCTCAGAGAGACGCTGAGAAGTGTGGCCTTCAAAAAGAAGCTGACGAAGATCAAGGCAGCATTGTCACCTCTCGCGATGGTCCCAGCTATTATGCTGCAAGCTGGGTGCTTAAGCCAAGAGCTGCCCGAAGTCAACCAAGCAACGACAAAGTTGAGGGCTACAAGTCTGCACTGGATTTATTGACAGCACAGAGGCCAACACAAGAAGTGTTCTCGCCTCCCTTGCCTGCCGTGCCTGCCCGGGCACTCCCAGTCGTCATGGAGCATCATCATGTGCACCGACATTGTCACAGGCATCACCGCAAGGCCGGTCTTGCTCGCATGATGTGCCCTAGAACCCTCTGAGCATTCCTTTTTGCCTGAAGAAGATGCGTGTAGGTCCTTGCGACTGCAGAAGAGGCACGTGAGGCCGCTCAAAAAGTGCCAAAGACAGCGCGGAAGCCAGAAGACATAATTTTGCCTCGCCCCCAATCACAGATTGCCCACGCATAATGCTGCTGTGTAATGGTTGAGCTCTTGGCTGAAGTTCTTACGAGGCAGCTGCCTTTTCTGGCGGAGCCTGCCCCGGCTGCCACACTTGCTGCCAGACGCAGGAAGGTCGCAAGGAGACCTCGGGATGAAGCTCTGCAGAAGTCCCTGTCTCTTCCTGTTCTCCGCCATCATGCTCAGAGGGCGCGCCGGAATCTGTAGTACAGCAGTGCCTTGTAGCGATGTGTCGTAGCACGCGCTCTTCAGCGAGCTGCAAACGGGAAGCGCCCTCAAGGGGCACTCCGTGCGCTCAAAGAGAAGCGAGACTTGGGCTCGTGAGTTTTTAGTGAGCGAAGCATACCCCGACCTTGAAAGATACCCGGAACACATCTTCGCATCCATTTCCCTCAACCCAACTTGCTGTGGTGAGTACCCCTTGTTTCTGCGTAAGTCTACTTGTGATACTTCAGGAGTCTTGAGAAGTACGGGCATCTTGCATCTGCGTTACCCGTGTACAGAAGCACTGTGAGCGACTTAAAGGATTCACAGGGGCAAAGCGTGAGCAAAAGGAGTTGATGGATGCCTGAGCTTCCAGTCCTCTGAGATACCATAATCATGCTTTTTCGCGGGAGCGTTTGTGCAATCGTTCTCCTGAGAAGAGGTGGATGTCGTGCAGATGGAGTAGAAGGATTGCATGCGCCCCACGGATAAGTACCTTTCTTGTTGAGATTGTCTTTTTCTATTCGCTACCCACCGTCTTTGTGCAGAGCTACTATGCTTTGCATCTCCTGTGGCTTCAGTATGTTAGAAAAAGTGGCATCCTCCGAGAAGCCCAGCATCTGGGAATACTTGGGACACTTCACCCCAACAACCGACACCGCCACAGTAGAGGTGGACAAAGCAGCAGCATGCACCCAGCAGTAGTCAGTTGCCAAGCCTGAACACAAACAGCTGCCAAGCATATCCCAACAAATGCAAACCCGCGAGATACCTGGTGTGTAGCTTGGCTTGTGGTACAGGTAGCATAGACATGCATAGACATTGTCAGTATCGCTTTATTGCTGCCAGCGTGCTGCATGCTGAAATCCAGCAATGCATCAGCAACACCAGCACCGCAGCATCTCAATCTAAACACACGTAACATCGAATTGTTGTTAAATCGTGGATGCGCAGCCAGCTTAGATGGATGGGGCGCGTGGCATGGCTCCTACATGGCAGCTGCTTTATTCGTGATCCTATCGCGTTGGTTTTGATGTTAGGCCTGGTACATGCTGGCCCTGCAGCTTGCGAGGTCGGGTCCTGAATCGTGTGGATCCACAACCATAGTCGCAAATGCCGTGCAGTGGGTTCCTTCAGCCATATGAAGCAACTTAGGGCAGTTGACGATTTTGTCGCGTTGGAGGACTCGCTACACGGCAGCGCCAACAGCTTTCTCTAATTCGCGTGTTGTGGCAAATAGGTGGAACTTGCTCCCGAAGTTCAGAAGATGCCGCGCACTTTTTGTGATATTTATCAAGACATGTGGAGGCCAGCGGATGCCAGCAGCAGCCACTCCTTGAATGCCTGAGGTTTGAAGAGATGTGTGAGCTGGAAGGCGTGACCCAGGCAGTCGGATGCAGTCGGCATTGTCGGCGAAAGGAGCATTGTGTTGCAACAACAAGCCTTGCCCTGCAGTCTGAGATGCTCACGCGTTGGATAGATGCCCGATGGGAAGCCATGGGCTATCAGGCACGCATAGGCACGCTGTCTTCTGCACAGTGATTTCTTTGCTCACATGTGGGCGTCAGGATTCAGACCTTTCTGACATCAAAGAGGATGGAGCCATCAAAGGA